GCATTTCGGTTAACATTGGAGAGTAAACCTAAGCAGAACCTCTCTGAATTTGATGGGTCTGTAAAGCCATCTACAGTGAGTGAGGGCTGTGATGCGTGGAAGGTTTCTCCAACCCTCTGATTTAATTCATAATATGCTATTGAACACCAAAATGCAGGTTCTGAGTAAGTAACTGGCTGTAAATCTGAAAAAGAAAAAAGGTGTGAACAATTTAAGCCAAAAATGGATTGAATACAATCATCTTTACATGCTCTATGCGAGCATGCATTGGCAAAAGCTCAGGAAGTAGACATACATCTGTATCAGTTTCCATAGATCATACTAGATTCTCAGTATTTTTCACTCAAAACTCCAGTCTCATAGATCATACAAGATTTTTTCAAATTTCTCCCATGTCATTAAATCACTTTATGTTGGATTATTTGTTTTACCAGTAGTTTTAGTCTAGCTACTGTTCAACCACAAAACAATCACAGACAAAGTAAGTCAACTTGCCATACTTGGTACATTTCTAAAGCACATAAAAAAACTAATGTGAGGTAAGATAAAGCTGGATCAAAGATGAGTCAAAAGCCACACAAAGAAAAACATTCATGATAAAAATATACAAAATATGATATTTTTGACATTTGTCTATTTTAACATCAAATTTTTGGTGAGATACCCTAGCTACAAAAATAGAAAACCCATTCATATATAAGAACTGGAAAGCATCATGCAAGTAGAAACAGACCATAGAGTCAAGAGACTGCTTTTTTCACTGGAAAACTATATATTTAGCTGCTGCAATTTTGACTAAAACATATCGTTAAGAAATATTACAAAAGAAAAAACTTCACGATTTTGTAGAATAAATTCCAAACATGTAACAACCGAAGAGAAATTGTGAAACAGCAGGGTAAAATGATGGCAAAAATAGTAATAGTAATACAGAAATGTACACATAGTCATCCTTTGGTATTTACAGGGTATGGTTCCAGGACTGCCCCCCGCCCTCCTACCCCACTAAAAATCCTCAGATGTTCATGTCCCTGACATAAAATCACATAGTATTTGCATGTAACGTATATTCACATCATCCTTATACTTTAAATCATTTCTACATTATTTATAATATCTAACAATGTAAATGTTACATAGTTGTTATACTGTATTTTAAAATTTGGGCCAGGCATGGTGGCTCACACTAGCACTTTAAGAGGCCAAGGTAGGTGGATCGTTTGAGGCCAGGAGTTTGAGACCAGCCTGGCCAACACGGTGAAACTCTATCTCTACTGAAAATACAAAAATTAGCTGTGGGTGGTGGCATGCACCTGTAGTCCCAGCTACTCAGGAGGCTGAGGCAGGAGAACTGCTTGAACCCAGGAGGCAGAGGTTGGAGTGAGCCGAGATCACACCACTGCATTCCAGCATGGGTGACAAAGCGAGATCTGTCTCAAAAAATATGTATTAGCTTTTATTGTTATTTTCATTTTCTCCTGAGTATTTTCAACCTGCAGTTGGTTGAATCTGGAGATGCAGAACTCATGGTTATGAAGGGACTGTACACATACACATCTGTACATATACACACATGCTCTCATATTTATATTCTCATACACGTATACATATTTATGTCAATGTGTATATATGCAATACACATCTTTTATTAATTGCTACATCATAAAATAAACATAACCATAAAAATCTAGCCATAATAGGTTATATGATTTTCTATGAAGAATATGATTTCAATAATAAAAAGATTAAACCCATTTCTTGTTCCAGCAGAAAAGACTTTTAATAATATTGAGGGATGATATCAGTATTCTTTTTTAAAAGCATCATTGTAAACCACATACATAATCATTTGATTATTTCTTAGGATCTCTTTCATATATATATATAACTCCTAGAGAGGATTATTATTAAGCAGATGATACAGTATAAATATGATGAGGAGAACGTATTTGCAACTTACCCAAGCTATGATTAACAGGGGAAAGAGTAGTAGGAGATAGTTCTGCTGGAGAGCCTAAAACAAAAGGATTTAATTTAATAATAAATATTTCCAGAACTTCTGATCAAGTAATCATAAAACTGGTTATAATTATCAACAATAATACAAAGATCATTTAAATACTAAGAATTCAGAATATGTAAGTGCTTAAATTTAATTGGGTGGGGGAGAAAGGGGACTCCTGTATAAAAGGTACAAAAGGGTACAGTTTTGGCTTCTAGTCTACAGTTCATCTTCCCAAAGGTATCTAATGTTGACCGTTCCTTGGGTATCTTTCCAAAATATTCTATGAACCACATAAGCAGATATATTTTTGTTCTGTGCCTTTTCTTTTTACACATAAGTGGTAATAGTTTTTGAATTTCTATATTATTCTATCAAATTGTTCACGATGTGTTTCCTTATTTGTCTGTCTACATAATTAGTCACATAACATTGCGATCCCATACTGACAAATATTCAGGATATTTTTTATCTTTTGCTATAAGAATCAGTGCCATAAGATTGCAGTAACTAATCTTGACCATTTTGCATGTTTCCAATCACATCTGAAGGATACAATCCTAAACAAGAAACTGCCAGGTTGAAAGGTTTGTGTCACGTGCAATTTTGATAAATTTGGGTAAAATTATCATTCGTCAAGGTTGTACCAGTTTACATGACCAGTCACAACATAGTAAAGTGATGCCTATGGTGTTACTGCTTATAGATGGAGACATGGTCACAAGTACAGTTTTAATTTTGAGTGGCTTTACACGTTTATATTGTGCTTCCTTTCTGTATAGTCTGTTGTTTTCTTTTTGCGATGTTGATCATTTTCTTACTGATTGTTTGAAAGCTTTTTACATATATTAGGGATATAAGTCTTTTTATGGTATGAGTTACAAATATTTGGTCACTGGTTTTATGACTCTTAATCCTCATTTTGATCATGTGGCACTAAAAAAAACCCTTCTACATGATTTATCAATCATCTTCGGGTTAGTGTCACACTTTGGGATGAAACAGTGGTGACAGTGGATGTTATCTTACTCTGGACTTTTAGAGTAATATTTTCACCATTTTTCTGATTAAGCATGGCATTGGCTTTGAGGTTGACAGCAATAAAATACTTATTTAGGAGTTTTGCATCAATAGTCTCAAGCAGTATGAGCCTAATTTTAGATGAGTGCTATGTTTGCAAGGCTCTGTAGTCAATGCTATGACAATCTAGCAACTTTATCTTATGCAAAGGTTCAAATAGCATTGTAAGAGCATATTCTTTAAAAGTTTGGTAGAGTTCTTCTGTGAAATTATTTATAGTTAGTAACTTTATAGAGTTTCCTATGAGACATTATTCTATGAAGCATGACTTGTTCTGATCTATTTTCTAGAGTCAGTTTTGGTAAACTGCACTTTCTTAGAAAATGATCCGGTTCCTCTTTTGAGTAAACAGGCTAAATCTACTCAAGAAAATAAGGGGGTAAAAGTACACAAAATAAGAACCACCACAGACAACAGATGGAAAATCATGGCACAACTACTCTGCGTAATTCCATGCAACTCAATTTTAAAACACATTTGCTGTAAACATTGATAAATAATCGTATTAAAAATATAAAATATATTTTATGATCATCATTCTCTACACATTTAGGGAAAGTTATCTAAAAGAGCATAACCCAAGCTTCAAAGGTATACCAAGAGTATAAATGTAGAATAAGATAGGTCAGGCCAGGCATGGTGGCTCACACCTGTAATCCCAGCACTCTGGGAGACTGAGGAGGATGGATCACGAGGTCAGGAATTCAAGAACAGCCTGGCCAACACAGTGAAACCCTGTCTCTACTGAAAACACAACACTTAGCAGGGTGTGGTGGTGCACACCTGTAATCCCAGCTACTTGGGAGGCTGAGGCAGAAGTATCACTTGAACCCAGGAGGCAGAGGGTGCAGTAGGCTGAGATCGTGCCACTGCACTCCAGCCTGGGCGAAAGTAAGACTCTGTCTCAACAAAAAGAATAAGATAGGTCAGACTGCCTTACACACCTCCTCCCTACTACACACCATTATGACTGTGACATAAAATACCAAGCAATAAAGGTGAAATGGCAGCCCCTAAATAAATGAATCAGAAATAGAGAAGAAATGCTTATTTTTTAGAAGACAGAACAGTCTGCCACAACACAATTAAGTTATGTTCATTCTTTATTTCTCAGTTTGAAAAATCTGCTGGCAAGTCATAACAGGTACAACTAAGAAAGGTCAAAATATATTTAGAACAATGAGCTAAAATTCGCTGATGTTTCCTGAAGCCAATATAAAATAAACAAAGCCACTATTAGAAATGGAGGAAACTGCCCAATTATTCATATCTTTTAACTGTTTACTCGTCTAAATACTTAGAAATGACCAGTAGGATCACTTAGACTAATAGGCGTTCAGTGAGATGTGACGAGTTAGAATTACAGATTACAAAAAAAGACAAATGTTAAAAACTTAAAATAAGCTAACAATAGAAGCCTTTTTTTAAAAAAAAATTTTCTGAAAAATAACATAGGCAAGGAACTGATGATTAGCCTATGAATTATTCATACATAAATGCTGCTACTGAAGTTTCGCCTACCACAGGCCTTCCACTTAGGAGAGGTAATATTATAAATATCCTATTTGAGAGCCAGTGTGAATTAGCAGTTATCTACTTACAGCTAAACCAACTAGAGAAATCCTTGTGCATGTAACTTTATATACAAGTTTACATATATTTGTAGAACACATTTGTCAAACCTTTGTTTGACAAATTAACAAATGTCAAATGAAATGTGTTAAACTTTTGTTAAGTGCCAAAATACCCTCTCAAAAATGTTTCATCTTATCAAGAATTTATAAGTTAGTGTGTCACACTGTGTCACTACATGTTGATATCTGCCAATATGACAGGTTTAAAGGGAGCAACTTTTTGTTGTTGTTGTTGAAATAGTGTATTCCTGTTCTTTTAGCCAGTTCTATTAACTATTTTTTTCTTCTTGATATGTACATTTTTAAACTTAAAAATCAGTTTTAGACTTGTCATCTATTTGCAAATATTCACCCGGTTTTTTTTTGATCTATTATCTTTTAAGGGGACATTAATTTTTAATTATAGACCATTTTTTTAAACAGTATTTTCAAGATCATACCAAAACTGAACAGAAAGTACAAAGAGCTCCCATATGACCCCTGGCCTGCTTCCCCAAGTTCCCCATCAATACCCGCACACCACAATGGTCCATTTGTTATAATAATGAACCTACACAAATCGTTATCACTGAAAGTCCATAATTCACATTAGGGCTCACTATGTTACACATTCTCTGGGTTTTGACAAATGTATAATGACGTGTATCCATTTATAGTACCAAGTAGAGTAGTTTCACTGCCCTAAAAATGCCATGTGCTCCACCTAGTCCTCCTTCCCTCCCACACAGTCTCAGTAACCACTTATCTTTGTCTCCGTAGTTCTGCCTTCCCCAGAATGTCATACAGTAAGTCCTCATTTAACATCTTCCATACATTTTTGAAAACTGACTTTTTAAGCAAAATAATTGTACAACAAAACCAACTTTCCCCAATCATCATTACAATGAAATGACATTACTTGAAGACCTGTTGCACCTTACTTGGATGTATCAGTTCATTTACTCAGTCACCTATTAAAGACATCTTGGTTACTTCCAAGTTTGCTAATTATAAAAAAACTGCTATGAACATCTATCTGCAGGTTTTTGTGTAGACCTAAGTTTTCAATTCATTTGGGTAAACACCAAGGAGAAACAAGGCTGCTAAACCATACATATGGTAAAAATATGGTTCGTTTTGTAAGAAATCACCAAACTGTCTTCCAAAGTGGCTATACCGTTTTTCATTCTGACCAGCGATAAATGAGTGTGCCTGTTGCTTCCCATCCTCACCACACCAGCACTAATGAACTCCCTCAGCTTTTGTTTGAGAAATTTTTTTATTTCTCCTTCATTTCTGAAGGACAGCCTTCCTGGTTATAGTATTCTTGGTTGGCAAGGGTACTTTTTTTTTTTTAGATGGGGCCTCACTCTGTCACCCATGTTGGAGTGAAGGGCAGTAGCACAATCTTGGCTCAGTACAATCCCTGCCTCCTAGGCCCAAGCAATTCTCCCACCTTAGCCTCCTGAGCAGCTGGGACCACAGGTGCATACTACCATACTCGGCTAATTTCAGTTTTGTTTTTTAATTCTTTCAGCCCTTTAAATACACCACCCATCTCTCCTGGTGTGCAAACTTTCTTTTTTTTGAGACAGAGTTTCGCTCTTGTTACCCAGGCTGGAGTGCAATGGCGCGATCTCGGCTCACCGCAACCTCCGCCTCCTGGGTTCAGGCAATTCTCCTGCCTCAGCCTCCTGAGTAGCTGGGATTACAGGCACGCGCCACCATGCCCAGCTAATTTTTTGTAGTTTTAGTAGAGACGGGGTTTCACCATGTTGACCAGGATGGTCTCGATCTCTTGACCTCGTGATCCACCCGCCTCGGCCTCCCAAAGTGCTGGGATTACAGGCGTGAGCCACCGCGCCCGGCCGGTCTGCAAACTTTCTGGTGAGAAATCTGATTGTCTAATGAAGACTTCCTTGTTATGTGGCATATTGCTTTTTCTCTTGCTGCTTTTATTCACAATAGCAAAGATACAGAAAACAACCCAAGTGTCCCATCAACAGATGAATGAAAAAAGAAACGGTGGGTTACACACACAACTGAATGTTATTCAGCCTTAAAAAGAGATATCCTACCACTTTTGGCATAGATGAATCTGGAAGACATTATGTTAATGGAAATAAGGTGGACATAGAAAGAAACATGACATAATCTCGTATGTAGGGTTTTTTGTTAACCAAATACATAGAAACACAATAAAATGGCGATTACAGGTTGGGGGGAAACAGGAGGATTATAGGTCAAAGGGTATAAAAAAAAAGTCGTACATATGTAAGGTAAGCCTAAGAGATCTAATGTACAACCTGAGGATTACAGTTGCAATATTGTGTTGTACACTGGAAATTTAGAGTTGATCACACACACAAAGAGGTGACTTTATCACACACACAAACAGCTGACTATTGAGATGATGGATTTAGTTTACTCTTGTAACCACTTCACTACATACACCAAACATCATGTTATATACCTTAAAAATATACAATAAAAATGTATGCTTTAAAAAGTCTAATTTACTAAAATATAGACCAAAGTGTTCACAAACCTTCCAGAAAACTGGGAATCACCCTGGATTGTTCTTTCGACCTTATCCCAAAAATGATAACTCATTATATTCTAAACCTCAGCAATATGTACCAAAAGCACCCATTTCTCCCCCATGTCACCTAAAATCAGCCAGAGATATAGTGTAGTAAACAAGAGCAGGAACTCTAGAATCTGACATCCTACTGAATTTCTCTGCATTTTCTAGCTATTTTTCGGAGGTTAATTACAGTGTTGTGTTTTTAATTTCTGGTAAAAGTTGAACCTTTTAAAATTTTAATTTGTTGCTAGATACAATTACATGCAATGCTTAAGTTTTCCTGTTCTAACTATTCTAATTTTTTATAATGAATATCCATTTGTTGTATCATTTGAAATGTTACATCATAACCTAACTTTTATCTGACATAGAATGGTAGAAATAAGAGGTTAAGCCTCCCTGCCAAAGTGAACACAATTGTCAAATTCAGCTTATGAAATATATAATGCACAAATAACCATTTTCTCATTTCTTGTTTTAAAAAACTTAATCCCCAATGTGATACCATCTTAGGTTTTATATATTCCCAAATTTTCTATGAGCATAATTCCGTTCATAATGAGAAAAAAAGCAGCTTTTGTTTTTATTAGAAACTCCTATAGAGTTCCCCTTACAGTTAGTAGGTAGAAGACTGGGGAAATCCTTTGCTTCTGAAATAGAGGTAAGACAATAAATTTTAAAACTCCTATTTTTCTTTAAAGTTATCTTACAGATATAGATCTAAATAAGTCTGCAGGAACTAATTTAGAGAGAGGGATGAGTTCCTCCTCAGTTAAGACAGTGGTAATCACTTTCACTACTGATAGCATCTGCCAAATCAGGACACAAAGGACTGGGCCTGCCAAAAGCGAAGCCAATTAAAATTTCACTGGCCATGCACAGACAATGGGAACCTAAGAAGCTGCAAGCAGAGCTAGTCCTCTTCACTAGTCAGTTCCAATACATGTTTTTAGCTGAGTACATGGTAGCACAGGAAGTCTTGGGCAAGGCTGGAAAGCAATGAGAATATGCAGCCTCATGCCTCAAAGTCCTGCTGAGGTAGAGGACTGATCCTCCCTGAAACCTGAGTGATGTGATATTAAAGCATGGAATTATCACATTTCCAACTCAAATCCTAAGAGCAGGGAAGGGATCAGCTTCTCAACTTAGCAATTGGAGAGAGAAAAGGGTGGGTCTTTCCAAAGAAAGCATATTTATTTTGGTCTCTATTATTTTATATAAAATACCCAGTATCTAGTTAAAAACAAAAGATATTCAAAGATGGAGGGAAAAAATAACCCATAATCAAGAGATAAACAGTCAACAAAAGCAGGCCATATTACATATTAACTGGACACAAATTATCAATGATTTTTACATGAAAATTATATAGCTAAAACATAAATTATCTGAAATAAAAAATTCATTTAACTGGATTAAAAGCAGACCCAAACTCAGACTCACATACATATTATCACTTGATTTTCAACAAAGGAGCCAATGTAAATCAATGGAGAAAGGAAAGCCTCCCCAAGAAACGGTGCTAAAACAAATGAAAGAAATGTCTGTAGGAAAGGAACAAAAAGCAGCAAAAAGGAGCAAACATGGTATATATGTAGGTAAATACAAAACACTCCTTTTTATCCCTTCTCATTTTCTTTAAAAATCAACTTAAAGTCTAAAGCAAAAATAACACTGTACCTTGGGGGTCATACATTTTTATTAAGTAAAATACATGTCAATAATCGCACAAACAACAGAGGTGGATGAATGAAATTATAGTTGTGTAAGTTCTTAAATTTTACAAGACATTGTAAATAAAATATTACAACTTAAGTAACCTTCTAGGTATAACATGGTAAGTACAATGTAATGACCAGAATACCAACTGAGAAAATAATACTGTTATTGGTAAAAAGCCAAGAGAGTAAATAGAATGAAACAAAAATTACTTGATTAGTCTAAAAGGCAGGAAAACTGAAAAACAAAAACTAGAGAGAACAAATAGAAAAACATCTGCAAAATGGTAGCCTAAACCCAATGGTATCAATAATTCCTCTAAATATAAGTGAATTAAATTTTCCAACTAAAAGACAAAAATTGTTAAATAAAACCAAAAAAATGCTGTCCACAAGAAACACACCATAAATACAAAGATTCAGATAAACTGAAAGAAATAAAAATACATCATGTAACCACTGAGGTAAGAAAAAAGATATGGTGATGTTTATATGAATTCATTAGGACGATGTAGTAATTCTAAATGCATATCATTTCTGCATCATAGTAACAGAGATTAAAGACATATGAAACAAAAACTCACAGGACTAAAGGCAGAAACAGGTGACTCCAAAATCAGAGCTGGTGATTTTGTCATCATAACTGACAAAGGAGATTTTAAAAAAATCATACAGGATTAAGAAGATATAAACACCGTCAGCCACCCTGACCTAAATGACATTTAGAACACTATAATACATTATTTACAATGAATATATGAAATTCTTATCAAGATAAGCTACAGGTTGTAGCATAAAATAATTTTCACAAATTTCCAAGGACTAAAGTCACACACACTATGTGTTGGACTGTAACACAATTAAATGAGACATCAATGAAGTATCTAGAAAATCCTCACACTCCTTTAAAAAACTCAAACTTCTAAATAAGCCATGAATCAAGAGGAATTAGAAAATAAAAATATAAAATTTGTAATATACAGCTAACAAAGTTTAGAGGGAAATCTATAGCTTTAAATGCTTACATTATAAACAAATTGATGATCTAAATGTATACAAGAGGCTAGAAAGAGATTAACTGAAAAGTAGACAAAAAGATGATGAATACAAACAAGTGTAACAGAAAAGAGACCAAGATAACAGAAAAAATTAACAAGACAAAAAATTGGTCCTTTGAGACTACTGATAAATCCCTTGCAAGATGTTTTAATAAAAAATTAAAAAGTCAAATTAGTAACATCCTAAGTTTCAAAATGGATCTCACATACATTAAAGGAATAACAAATATCAGAAATAACTTTGTATAAATAAATTCTTCAGCCTGGGCAACAAAGTGAACCCATCTCCATATAAAACAAAGAAATTAGCCAGGCACAGTGGCATGTACCTGTGGTCCCAGCTCCTCAGGGGGCTAAAATTGGGAGGATTGCCTGAGCCTGGGAAGTTGAGGCTGCAGGGAGTCAACTATGCCATTGCACTCCAGCCTGGGCAACAGAGTGAGACCCTGTCTCAATCAGTCCTACAGCTTAGATGAAACGAACACATTTCTAACAAAATACAAGTTTATCAAACACATATACAAAATTAAAAATGTAAATAGGCCGGGCGCGGTGGCTCAAGCCTGTAATCCCAGCACTTTGGCAGGCCGAGGCGGGTGGATCACGAGGTCAAGAGATCGAGACCATCCTGGTCAACATGGTGAAACCCCGTCTCTACTGAAAATACAAAAAATTAGCTGGGCATGGTGGCGCGTGCCTGTAATCCCAGCTACTCAGGAGGCTGAGGCAGGAGAATTGCCTGAACCCAGGAGGCGGAGATTGCGGTGAGCCGAGATCGCGCCATTGCACTCCAGCCTGGGTAACAAGAGTGAAACTCCGTCTCAAAAAAAAAAAAAAAAATGTAAATAATCCTCAATTTAAAAATCCCTTTCCTACAAGAGATGGTTTCCCTGGTAAAATCTATTGAACTTTTTTTTTGGATACAGGGTCTCAGGTTTTGGCCAGGCTGGGGTACAGCAGTGCAAACATGGCTCACTGCAACCTCAACCTCGTGGGCTAAAGTGACCCTCCTGCCTTAGCCTCTTAAGTAGCTGGGACCACAGGTGAATGTCACTACCCTGGCTAATTAAAAATATATATATATATTTTTAGAGACGAGGTCTTGACCTCCTGCGCTCAAGCAATTCTCCAGCCTTGGCCTCCTCAAGTGCTGGGATTACAGGTGAGAACCATCATGCCCAGTCCTATCAAAAATTTAAGAAAGAAATAAGGCCGACCTAAAAGAAACCCCTTCAGAAAACAGGAGAAAGCCCTTTCCAACACATTTTATTGGCATTAAAACTAATCAACACATTAGAAGGGAAAAAACCCTATAGGCCAATCTCTCATAAATATAAATAGAAAAAAATCTCAAAAACAAAACAATTCAATCAAATCCACGAATTTACATGATCCTCTTGCAAATGCAGAAAAAAATTCAAGAGCCATTCATAAAACACAATTAGAACATTAAGAACAAAAAGGAAAAGGAACTTCCTCAATCAGATAAAATCTCCAAAATATCCACAACATCAAACTTAAAGGGGGAACTGTAAAATGTATTCCTCCTATAATCAGAACAATGCACAAACGTCCATTCTTATAACTTCAACACTTTATTGTTGAAGGTCTTAGGACGGAAAAAGGAAAAAGCATAAAGACTGGGGGGAAAAAATTGTCCTTATCAACAGATGACATGGTTGTATATGCAGAAAATCTCAAGAATCTACAAAAGTCTAGAACCAAGAAGTCAATTTAGCAAGGATGCAAAAGAAAAGATTAATATACAAAAATCAAACATTTCCCATATCCTAAGAACAAACAGTTGGAAAATAAAATGTAAAAGCAAAAACATGTATAACAGCACTAAAAGTACAAAATACTAAAAAATTCACCTAATGAACGACATGCTATACATCTACATCAAAAACTGTAACAACATGGCAGAAATAAGGCATAGTTAAAACTAACATGAAATTGTCAAGTCTAATCCCTCATTTTTGACAAAAATCTTTCTTTCCTACTTTATAGAGATGATCCTAAACCACAAAGGTCAAGTGCTTCTATGTCTGGATCTCAATTGTTTTCCTTCAAATCGTTGTGCAATCTACTATCTTCCTTTTTCTGAAGGGTTGACTTCTCTTTTAACATTTTCTTTAGCTACATTCATACAGTGCTTATTACAGGTTAGGAACACGTAGATGGATTATAAATATTAGGCCTGTTAATACCCTATGAGTTAAGTGCTATTATTATCCCTGTTTTACAGATTTTAAAACTAGGTTACCTAGCTAGTATATGGAACAGAAACATTTTAAACTCAGGTAGTCTAGCTCAGAATCTGACAATGCTATCTTGATTATATGCATTTGCTTAAGAGAAGTAGTCTTGTAAGTGGAGTATGTGAACACTATCTAGGAGAACACAAAACTACTTGTTTACAAAAAGAAAAAATTAAAAAATATTTTCTATTTATTTAATCTCATCCTTCAATTTCTAATTTTTGTTTATATTTTAAAGTGTATATAACTTACAAATAACTAAATACACATATGAGTAGGACAGTCTCAAAATCTTAATATTCACTGTATTAGCTTCCTAGGGCTTGCTCTAACAAAATACCACAAACTGGGTGGCTTAAAACAACAGAAATTTATTTTCTCAGAGCTCTGGAGGACATAAGTCCCAAGTCAAGGTGTCAGCAAAGCCATGCTCTCTCAAAGGCTCAAGGGGAGAATCTGTTCTATGCCCTTCTCTTAAGCTTTTGGGTTTCGCATTAGGAAACCCAAGCTCAGCTTGCGGCTACTAACTCCAGTTATCTGCCTCCATCTTCATATGGCGCATTCTTCCCTATCTTATAAAGACACCAGTCATATAGAATTAGGTGTCCATTGTTCAGTATGACTTCATCTTAATTACATTTACAAAGATGCTACTTCCAAAGGAGGCCACATTCTGAAGTATTGGAGGTTAGGACCTCATTGTATCTTCTGGGACACGGGCAGATTAAAAAACCCTTTAAGTCTCTTTGTTAGTATATCTTGGACCAAGCATAGTGTATGTAGAAGATACAAAACTAAATGGAGAGTTATAAAATCCACATTTTATGATTATATTCTATTTCTCTATATACCTATTTAAACAAATATGTTCATAAAAATCATGACTTGAAAAGGGACTGATTTTACAATACTACAAAGGTTAATCAAACTTTTCAATTTCTTAACGATGTCCAGCCTGATCTCTAATGTCCACAGGACTATAAAGAAAGAATAAAGTCTTGACCAGAGAAATCTAAATTAAAAAAAAAAAAAAAAAAAGTAACAAGTGCTTGTTCATATAGTTACTCATCATGCCCAATTTATCCTCTGGTTGCCCTTTTAAAAAATTTCACTTCATTTTTTTTTCCCAGCAGGATTCCCTCTGGAAGGTATGAACCACAGTTAGAGAGGTGGCCAACTGTGCTCTAAACTGGAGCCCTGCATCAGTCAGAATTGTTTCTTGCCATGGCCCCGAGAAGGAAAGAAACTGATATTGGGTAAGAGGCTGGCAGCCAAACCAACTGCTGGCATCTGATGAATCAGATATTGCCATACGGTAATTTTAAACATGTCATTCAGAAAGCCAGTAACACTACTCCACTGAAACAGAAATATTAGGTTGGGTTCAAAGTTAGCCCCAACACTGCAATCATTTTAGCTGGCTGACTCAGGTTTTTCTCTACTTTTTTACATTGATTCACTTATCATAACCAATACTTGTATTATTGCTCCCTCTGTTTCAGTTACATTGTTGAATAGGTGTCTGTGCACTAATTAGAATACCTACAGCCTTTTTTAACTGGCTTCTTTCACTTATCATACTGCTTTCCAGGTCCATCCATGTTGCTAACTTCAAACTTCATGTTGTACTGTCATTCCTTTATATGGTTGAATAACTCTATTGCAGAAACATACCTCATCTTATTTATCCATTCATCATTTGATGAACATCTGAGTTGTTTTGAATATTAAGAATAACACTTGCATAAATGGTCATGTACAAGTTTTTGAGTAGACATGTTTTCAATTTGCTCGGGTACACAGCTGGCCACATACGTTAACTCTATATTTAGCTTTCTGAGGAACAGCAAACTTTTCCAAAGTGCTGAACCATTTAACATTCCTACCAGCAATATATGAGGACTCCAATTTCTCCACATCCTCACCAACATTTGTAATTGTCCTTTTTTGATTATAGCCATCTAGGGGGTGTGAGGTAGTATCTCACTGTGGTTTATGATGTTCAGTATCTTTTCATGTCATTCACTTTTTAATGTCACAGTAACAGCTGTCCATCACAGGCAAAAAAGAATATTATTGCTTCAAGAAGAGAGTTGATATCTAATGTTAGAAAGACATGTGGAAAATCAAATATCATTTGCATTAAGATATTTGCATTAAGATGTATAACATGCTATTTCCAACGTTATTAGATTATCTACTTTTCTTAGTTATCTGGTACCCCTAAACAGCCAAATATATGATTAGCTACAGCAGAAACTTCTTTACCTGGGAATCTAAAAAATGGAAGGATTTAAACAACAGAATTATTGTAACCCCTCCCTCCCCCACCAACGGTAATCCATCTTAAAATAATTTAATTATCATAACCACAAAATACATTAGTATTAAGATGTGGAGAAAGACTGATAGCATAATTTGTTTATGATATTAAGACTGATAGCATATATTGGCTGTGTTAATTGGCTGTGATATTATTAAGGTGTCCAATAGTTAAGATACGGACAGAATGAAATGAATCAAACTGGACAATTACAATAACATCAAAGTCATTTCACCGGTAATTTATTAGTTCTGCTGAGTTATACACTGTATTACATAAAATGCGATTTAAAGCTTTCTCTATCATTGTTTGGAATTTATAGCTAAATATAAGAAATTAATCTACTATAATTAAAACTCACTATTAGGTTCAAGGAGCAGTGAACAGCTGATCCCTATCCTTCAACCCCAAATTCCTCTGAAAATATGTTATTTGACTAATTATGGTCTTTTATCACAGAGAGTTATTTAGTCACAGGGTTAACTAAAACTTTCAACAGAAGCATATACTTAAAAAGAAATAAAAGCATGTGCATGTTTTCAAATTTTCCATTTACTCTAATAAAAAAATTAACAATTACTCTGCAGAGTATACAGTAATTTTTCAGTGACAACATGGACCCCTTTGATGGTTCAGATATGTTAAATCAAGATAGAAGATCATCTTTTGTGAGTTTCAAACAATATCAGAAATGTATATCTAATCACTGAGGAATTTTCAAAGACTTATTTATTTATTTTTACCTGTGTCCATACTTTGATTCAACTGTTGGTCACTTGTTTCTCCATCTTCACTGATATACCCAGGAGGTGGCGTTTCTACAAAAGTTTAAAACAAATCAAGCATAGCTGCAACATAATCCCACTACCTTTTCCCCCAGCTACCAAAGGTAACCAATGAATCACTCCAAATAACAAATAATGTTATATAACATTATTATAAAAGTAATATTGCATACGGAGGGTGTATGGTTCAGGACCTTGTCTAAATTTTGCAGGTGAATCCTTAACATCTACTTTTAATAAACTCCTGCTCTCTGGACATATTTTCTCAGACATTATCCACATATCTTGCTCGTTCCTATAGGTACATATTCTGGGGCAAGAGCCAAAAATGTAACTTCAAAAATGCCTCAGATCTGAATCAGTAGGCTGCAAAACCATTAGTAACTACAATGTTTTTCATTGTTGTCGTTGTTTAATCTAATGAGCATCATTATTTTATGAGGACTTAGAAAATTAAAAGCACATGCACACAAGATTTTGGATTATAAAAGTATTAAATATTAGAGGCTTACAACTTACACTAAGCTCTATAGGCTAAAATAGGGTAGTACGGTTCAGGATTGGTCCAGCCTGAATTCTACCTAAAGAGTATATTTCTCCAAGGATTCCTAACTGGTAAAGTCTAAGCATTTGAAGCAGAACATTCAATTCAAATATATACTACTGTATAAAAATGTAAAATGCTCCATGAAAATAAACATTAGGATACTAACATGTTATTTCCAATATGCTGTCTGAATAAAACATTTATGTTCAGAAAGGTACCTGAATAGCTGAATAAACTACATATAAAATAAAATCATGTATACAATTTCATCAATTGTAACTCCCAGGAGGAAAAACAAGTTCAAAAGATTTTCATCAGTTTAACATTTACATTGCTGAACATTTTCGAGCAATTCAATAACACCGACACATATCCAAAAAGAATTTTAAAATTAGCAAAAGAAAGAGGCTGGGCAGGGTGGTTCAGGCCTGTAATCCCAGCACTTTGAGAGGTGAAGGCGGGCAGACCACCTGAGGTCGGGAGTTTGAGACCAGCCTGACCAACATGGAGAAACCCCATCTCTACTAAAAATACAAAATTAGCCAGGCATGGTGGCACATGCCTGTAATCCCAGCTTGCTCAGTATGCTGAGGCAGGAGAATCACTTGAACCCAGGAGGCAGAGGTTGTGGTGAGCCAAGATCACGCCATTGCATCCAGCCAGGGCAACAAGAATGAAACTCCACCTCAAAGGAAAAAAAAAGGGGGGGAGGGGGGCAACAGGAGGGTTAAGGGTATCCTTCAATAACCTTTTACAGTATCTATTCAATAAACTAACCATAAACTTTAAGTATCAAACTTTTCATTTAAGTGTCCGTACCCCCAAATTTTTAAAACAAAAATTCTAAGAATACAGTATCTTCATATACTCAAACAATAAAGAATATAAGTTTACATATTATGCATATTTTAAAAGTTAAAGCTAATAAAATTAAACAGAGCTAAGCTTTGTGAGTTTAACCAGTATCTCAAAGATCTAATCAGAAAGAAATGCTCAACCTTAAAATGTGTATCCTATTTTTTCCATTATCATTATAATAAATAATAAAGCTATTAGCATTTTCAAGAAAATGTTAAAATTTCCTTTAAGTGGTTTTGCTGTTGCTTGGAACTGGATAAAGCCCCACTGTCTAGAAAAGCAAATGGGTATAATCTACTTCTATTTTCTACTTTATAAAATATTCCAATCTAAATAAAGGAATAAAAAAGAAAGGAAAAATGAGCCCGAACATTTTCACAAGTAAAAGCCCCTAAACATTCTGGTGAATATCCTTCCAAATAATTACTGGGTATGTGTGTTATAATACTGCATGCTTATACCTAAGTTTCTTAGTATTGCTGGCTGAATAACAGTAATTCCCACACTAATGGCTTAAAATGCCTCCCCTTCCCAATAGCAACATTCACAAAACTCCACTCCCAGCTAAGTTTACAAAAGTAAAACCAAATTTTTCTACCTAGCAATTGCCCTGTTTCACAGTCTCATGTTTTCCCTCATCCTAGTGTATCATACTATACCACACCCACTCCCTCTCTTAACTTTAGTTTGTATTTCTTAAAAACCCAAAAAGTAGCCTTAAATCCTCTTCTGGAACAAAACAGTAATCAAAGAAATATACATTGAAACAATCAAAAACCACTTCCCATCTGTAAAACCAGCTATTAAAAAAAAAATACTACTTCTTTTCTTAGTTTTCTTTTTTTCTTCCTTTTCTTATATATTAAAAACTATCTTCAATCAATAAGCACTATTTCCAACATGGATACAAGAAATAATAAGTAGTAAAACTGTATTTTAAAATCAAACAAAAAGGGAAACATCCAAGAAAAGTTAACAAAGTATTAGTTGTTATCCTAAAAAAAATAAAAAATGAAAAAGCCAGATATCATATGGTGGAATATTACTAGATCACATAATATATTAGAACAAAATTTGAGAACCATGTAGCTGAATTCGTTTTTCATCAGGAATTACTGAGACATAGACAAAACATAATTAAAACAGAGGTTTTCTGATGTTCAGTATAACATGGAGTGTTGCTATGTCTATAAAACTAAGTATTATATTTCTTATAAAAATGTTACATTTCTGTTCAATATTACCAAGTTAGCTAAGAAAAAATCATCACTGGGTGGATTTTCAGTTACATATGCTTCGGGGGTTCTTTTCTCCTACACCATTTGTTTTGCTTACATTCTGCATCTCGCTTAGCTTCAACAACTAAGACAAACTTACTAAGATCTTTTCTTTTCTGCTTCTCACAGTACTTTGATTAAAGTCACTGCAAAAGAAAATGAAATATAAAGTAAAACTCTTCTCCAAACAAAACTGTTTAATGTACTAGGCTTATACATTTCACAAGATACTCGCCCAACAAACCAGATTTTTCTATTAAAAACTAAAAAGCATTTTTTAAAAAGTGAAACCACAATTTACTAATACTTGAATGCTTATAAACAAAATTTGTATCTATCCAAGTTTTAGGAGATTCAGAAGGCAAAAATACCTGGAATATAATTACTCTGTGGCTCAATTCCTGCTGGGAAGTTAGTGTTTTCTGGAATGGAGTGAGTATAGTCATCGAGAGGCGGAAGTTCTGTTAGGATCTCAGTGTGTCGGGGCACTAATACTGGAGGCAAAACTGAAAAAGTTCAAGAAATCCAAGTTAACGGCAAAGAGCAAAGGAGAGTGGGGGGACCTTTTTAAGTTTGCAACAAGAAGAAGACAAAGCAGTTGTAGCTTAATTTTTAAAGTTAGGGTCCACCTATTTGACTATGTATTTAACTAAGTGTCCGTTATTAAAAAAATGACAAATCTGACTATGCCTTTAACTTACATAGTCTACTATTCAATTTTCCAAGTTCTAATTTATCTCAAACTTTTGGGAACAATGTGATCCTGGTAATATTATATTACCATAAAAGTTCATAAATTCCCACTGGAAAAGTTAACATTGTCTTTATCTGTAAAATCAGATATAGGAAATTTTCACAGCTACTGCTATATTTTTTTTAATAGTTTCAGGTAGACAGCTAACTAAATGAAAAGTCTTGTCACAAGCTTTACTAAACAGCTTATATACAAACGATGTCATTAAAGTACTTCTAAAAGCACGCCAAGTGCAAAATGCTTGAAAATAAGTTACTGCAGCAAAGACATGTAGAAGCACATCAGTGTAGCTCTAAGCAGACTGCCAATCTACAGTATTTCCTGGATACGTACTTTCATGCCAAGTCATGTGCTATTCCAAGAAACAGACATATTTTTCCCTCTAAGATATGTTTTCCCATTAAAAATTTTTAAAAAATAAAAAACACTTTACCACCAAATAATATGCACAATTTAAGGTAATTTATTAGAATTTTACACTAAAATTTTCCTGGGTCACAACAGTACCTAAATATACTTAAGTTCAGGCATTTAATACAAAACCAGGAAAAAAACTTGCAACGTTCCTACCTGGTGTCTCAACTCTCTGATAGTGGTAAGGGTTTACACATACTTCATCCTTTTTAAGATTAAAAGCATATTCGCAGTTTTCAATTGCCTTGAGTTCATGATGACTGTGAAGATCAGGCCAGCGCCATAATCGGCAATATATAACATGTGGCAATCCTTTTCGATGGGATACCTGGAGACGACCATCAAGAGACCTATTGGGAAGCAAGGGAAAAAGAAAGGAGGGAACTTTAGGAAAAAAAATGTAGTCAAATGGACTAAATTAGTACATTAAGAGCATAAAGAAAAGAATGACAGCCATTTAGTTAGTTTTAGTGAGAATCAAGAAGAAAAATGTACTATTTAATGGATCTGATAAAAGTATGCAGCAGCACTAGCAAATGTTTCTTATAAATATGTCACATAAATGACTCAAATGCCAATGAAAGGCTAAATACTTGGGAAAAACTGATTTTTAAAAAAGTATTATGCAGTTATACTGGAAATACTTTCTCAACTTCTATGTTTAGTCAATCAAACTCATTTTAGAGATGCTTCTAAGGGTATTAATTCTGGAGGTGACTGAACAGTCAAAAAAGAAACTAGTGTGAAGAATGATAAATACCAACAATGATGTGACAGTAACTTCCTCAGACTACTGCAACTCATTACCCAGTTATGACTGTTTTGAGAACTGAGGTATATTTATATAGTTCACAAATAAATGTGGATGGTAATGTATATGATGAGATGAAATGAACAAATACCATATGCAAAAAAAGAGAATGAAATGATTTTTAGAAGTAACATAAAAATGAGTTAACCTACTGTTAATTGTGATATAAGGGGTTCATTAAATATGTATTCATTAGTATAAAGAGATTCTGATAACAAATTTAGCAAAACTGATCATGTATCTACTTAAAAATTAGCCCAACAACAGATTATAATCTGATCTCAAGCTAAA